TTCATATGGGTCGGTATGTATGAACTTGAATTTTTCAAGCCGATTAAAAGCGATATGCCAATATGATCTCTTATTTGGGGGATTCGGTCAGGTTCTCGAACCTAATGTCTATTATCTAAGAGCATCTGTATTCTCTAATGAGTTGCTGTGTTAAGCATTGGCTTAATGTGTTCGTCCAATTTTAACACATCTAATGCATTCTAACGCATCAGCTTGAAATGTTAATCGGGATGATTGTTGGAAGGCAAAATTCGTGTCTCAATATTTTATTTACCCAAGCCTAATAACGAAGCATGTAATTTTGCCACATAAGATTCCGAAGCTCAGAAGCAGCCACGTAGGCTCAACGCGTTCTGGATTAATATATAGGGGGATAGTACAATACCCGTGTATTACACGGGTGCTTGTTAAAAAATATATTTAAATTTAAAATTAATGAGAAAACTATATTAAATTTAGTTTACTTTTTTACAAAAAATATATTATTATGTGTTACTTATGACTTACATGTGTTATATTATATTAGTTTTTATAACTTATATAACTACTTGAATTATAAATATATTAGTTGATAATAATTTTATTTTTCTAATTAATATTAAAAATAATTTTATTATTGTTATAAAGATAAATGTAAATTATTTTTTTATACATACAATATGGATGTTAAATCGAAGCTCATCAAAAGAAGATTAATTTGATATATTACATATGTAAAACTGATAAAAAATACAAAAGTAATTAACTTTTAAAATATATATACAATTCAATAATTATAATAAGGAATGATATTAAAATGCAATTAATACATTTAACATGACCATAAATAATCAACATATTTATGGTAATCCGAACCTAATTATTTTTGGTTTGAAATTAAATTAAAATTTACCCAAGCACGAAGCATGTAATTTTGCCACATAAGATTCCGAAGCACCAGAAGCAGCCACGTAGGCTCAACGCGTTCTGGATTAATATATAGGGGGATTGTTTGGGAGTGAATTCAGAAATTTTGCGCTTCCCACTGATTATGGAATAAACTGCGTTTCTTATAAGATTTGTTTATTCTTGTTTGGAATTACTGGTTTTGGTTGGTTAATTTAAAAAAAAAAAAAATTGGTATGGTAAGGGGCGTTTGTTTATAATTTTTTTCAATATACTCATAATTTAACTCAACTCAACTTTATCAATATTATTAGTATAATCAAATCATATCAATGAATAATTCTTATATTGAACATCAACTTTAATTCATTATTCATCCACTCATATAATTTTAACTAACTATCTATCTCTTATTTTTACATCAAATCGACTTTAATTATTCTATTGTAAATATTATTTTAATATAAACTCTAAAATTGTACTAACATTTAATTTATCACATTTTTCATAATTAACCTTGGTTAACAAAAAAAAAATATCGTTTTGCCTTTTCCTACTAGCGTCCGCAGACCCCTATTTCAGCCCGCGCGTAGAGAGGTTTTGCAGGGGCGTCGCTGCGTCTCTCTCTCTCTCTCTCTCTCTCTCTCTCTCTCTCTCTCTCTCTCTCTCTCTCTCTCTCTCTCTCGGGTCGGGGCCGCAGTGCATTTCTTCTTCCTCTGACCTCGTGCCGATAGGGAGTCATCCTTTTGGCCGACGGTTCGTCTTCCCTGTCCGCAGGCTCCCGATGGTTGAGCGCCATTTCACAGTTTGTGCAGTGACGGTCTATCCCGTCGGAGTCATCTTCCGTGGCGACTTCCGTCCTCCCTGGCGTTGAAGAACTTTGGAGCCCAATCTTGACCGAGAATCGCATCCTCGCCAGATTTGTGTGGGCGATTTGAGTGTGGCCATAGTTTTTGGTTCTGGGGGTTTGGTTTGCAGCTTTGTTGGGATTCGCTGCTGCGAGGTGTGGCTCGTATGCCGATTTGGGTAGTCGCGCGGTTAGCCTGCTAGGTTTAGGGAGGTCTTGTTTTATTTGTTTAATAGGTATGCATTGGTATTGTCTTTCTTTACGTTTCGTTTTGTTAGTCTAGTTACGTCATACTTTTACTTTCTATATGGAGTTTGTGTCTCCCTTATGGAGTTTTGTTCTGCAGGTGTTTGTGTCTCTTTGATGGAGTTTGTACCCCCTTGATCTCCTGTGTAATTCCAAAGGGATGATCTAAACTCTGTTCTGGTTCAAGTGGCGTCTGTTGACACATCGTTTGTACTCTTTTGAGTTTTTAATTGCTAATATAGTTATTGTTTGAAAAAACAAAAGTTTATATAGTTAAAAAATTCAACATGTTGGAGAGAGCCGTTTTTACTTTTTAGCATGGTTCTGAAAACCGCACCGGACCAACTGGTTCAATCGGTTGGACCGGAAACCGGCCCATTTCGATTCGGTTTGCGGCATCAAACCACCTAACATGAGAACCGGTCCAAAAAGAAATAATCAAATTATTATTGTTTATTATACACAATATGTTTATTTTTTATTTTTTAATCAATAATTAAAAAATTAAAATGTGATTTAAAATGAAATAGAGTTTATTTATTCTCTATTTGGTAATTTTAATATAGATTATACAATTTTGAATATAAAAATAAAATAAGATTAAAATTTTAAACATAAAAATAAATAAATTTAAAAAGTTATCAACATCCTTATTGGACTATTATTTAGAGATATATCACACACTATAAAATTAATAATTATATATTATATATACAAAATAAATAAAAATTATATATTACTTAAACCGGTTCGATAGCTGGTTCGACTAGTGATATATTGAATCAATAACTTTACCATCAACCCGTCCGAGTAGCATTATTTTGTTCCTACTTTTAGAAAAGTTCCTTGGGAAAGCGCTCCTGTAAGACTAACCAGAGAACACAAGTTGGAGATTTTTTTGGAAGAGCTGAAGAAAGTGAAAATGCCGAAGCGAACGACGCATACGTACTCGAGCGAGGACGCTTTGCCGGACGGCCCCGATTCCGATCTCTTCGTTTATTACTGCAAGTTTTGCGGCTCTCATGTCCTCATCACCGGTAATCCACCTCTAACCCCTTCTCTCTTTATCTAATTCCTTCCTCTTTAATTGATACCTCGTACTAAGGCATATGTATAGATACACAATTGCAGAAAATGCCGAAAAGGAAGACGGACAAAGCATATGTGTTGGACAGGAAGAAGCATTTGGCTAGGCTAAACACAAGTGAAGCAGGAAAGGTCCTATTGAAGCGGTAATTTTTCTCCTTGCTGAAGGGGATCATATCAATTATTTGATATGTAAAGTGTTTTTCAATGTGTTTTACTTGTGGTTCTTGAATTTAATTGGCGAAATTAAATTCGAGAAAGGGAGAAATTGGGTCTACCGAATCGTTAAGAATAACAGAGTTCTTTATGGCTTGTTTTATATGTATGTTATGAAGTATGTCTCCTCCATATATATCTTGAAGAAACAATGTTAGAAGATAGCATTTTCCGACACGGTCATATTGCAATGTAAACAGCAGGCTCAACATTGTATAAGGCGTTGTCTTTCACTTCAACCGAACAAAGTTTCCGAAGAGGCCAGTTAGTTTTAAGAATTATCCTCTTAGCAGCCAAGTTTTCACCAAATTTAGTTGTTGAAAAGAAGGGTAACACGCTGCTGCTTTTACGTGATCTTCCTTCATGTAGCGCAGCTTCGAACAAAAGGGAGATAAGAGATGAAATCTCAAAAACTGTAATTTTATTCAATGATCAATCGTCTTCATAAGAGAGAAGAAGGGAATAAATAGTTCCCAAAATCCTAGGTTTCCTAAACATGCTAAACAAAGGAATAATACTTAAATAAATATTAAATAAAACATGGAATAATAATAAAAGCTAGGAAATAAATAACTAGACTAAAGAAGGCATCCGGTCGTATTTCTGCCAAAACGCCATCGCGATCTCGTCTCCATCATTCGTTTTTTTATCTAACTCCAATTGTCACATCTTTTATGATTTTTTTCGTAACCCATTCTTTATAATTGAGAAGCTGTTGACGTTGATGAATCAAAATTGTCCAGATTTCAGCATAATATTTACAAAGCACAATTATTAAGTTACCCCATTGACTGTTCATATTTCTCTCTGCAAAGTCAGCCTGGATCTCTAGCTTAACATCATAGTTGACTTGCGATATTTTCGGGTAACATACTTTATTTTGTGTTTACCAAGTCACAGTAAAGAGTCCTCTCTGGAACTGCTGACCATTGCAGTTTCTGCTCAATTCTTTTCTAATATTATTCATTAATAAATATAACTTATTCTTTCAAAGGTACTTATCAAGAAATAATAAGTAATGTTGGTTCACTTGAGAATATGAAATTGTATCTTGTTTTGTGTAAATAACTGTTTAGCATTTTACTGCATTTACAGCATTAAATCATCAAATTTCCCTTTGTCGTTGGTCAAATACTAAGAAAAATTCCCTTGTGTCTTTATTGTGGTTGACTTTTTTGAATCAGGGGCGAAGGTAAATTGGAGAAGCAGTTTCGGATGAATTGTTTGGGTTGTGAGCTGTTTGTTTGTTACCGAGCAGAAGAGGAAATGGAATCGGCTTCTTTTATATATGTAGTTGATGGTGCTCTTAGTACAATTGCCGCTGAAACAAATCCCCAGGTAAAAGTTTTAAACTTCGAAACCATTCCATTATAAGTTATTCTCAATTCAATTGTCTGGAATCCAATCAGTGGAAATTATTCAGTCAGCAGTTATTAAAATAAAACAATAATGTTGATAATGTGATGTGATGATTATGAATAATGATATCAGTCCAGCTTGCTTCTTGAATCATACTTATGTTTTCTCCGTGAGCGGACAATTCTTTAGTTAGGTAATGCTTGACCTTACCGTTTATTGTAGGATGCTCCTGTTCCCCCATGCATATCACAATTAGAAGGAGGCCTTGTCCAAGTCGCCATAGAAGTGGAAGACCGTTCACAACGCTCGGCAATTACAAGTAATGCATTGTCTTTTGATTCTTGATGCTTCAGTATTGTCATTCCTTACTGTTGCATCAAATTGTCATTTCTAGCTAATTCTAATAATCAAGGAATGTCCTTATGAACCCGAATGTGTCTGCCGCTGCAGATAATTTTTATATACATTTCATACTCCTCTTATGAAAATGTTATGCTAAGTTTTCGAATGGTCAAAGCTAATATTTCTAATTGTATTTTCATGTTTGCTAATGAATGCTATCATCTTCTAAAAGGTGAAATTTAAGATATTGTTTAACATATTTGCCCCAGAGTTTCCTCTCTCCATTACCATAAAATAAAAAAAAAAAAAAAAAGTTGTTGCCTCAGTGGAAGTTAGTTGGACTACCTGTATATATAAACCATATGAAGAACTACAACCATGAATCTCCAGTAGCAGGAATCAATTGTCTTCAGAATTGCTAGTGATGCTGTGAGATTGGTTCTTATCCATTCTTGAAAAAATCTTGATTAGGTCAAATAATTCGTGTTTGGTTGGGGTTCAAATATTTATTTTGTGTATAGTTGAATAATCTGATAAGTAAAACTTTTTGAACTAGTTTCTTCTGATTGACTATTCCATACTTCATACGTCTCTGTTTGGATTTTGACCTTATGGACATATTATATGATGATAGTTTACAGATGCACATAAAAACACAGCACATTCTTTTCTAACGGCGTTGTTTGGTGACTAATTTTTCCAGGGGTAAATGCTGATGATGTCCGTGTTACTGTAGCTGCTCCTGCTGCCCGTGGAGAAGCAAACAATGAGCTTTTAGAATTTATGGGGAAGGTAGAGAAGTAGTTACATAATGTTAGATGTCATATTTAGCATTTTGTGTTATTGTATCTTATGAGGAGGTTTCAATTGATTCGGTGAGATTTTGTTCAAACATAGGTATTGGGTCTGAAGTTGAGCCAGATGACTCTTCAGAGAGGGTGGAACAACAAATCAAAGCTCCTGGTGGTGAGTTTGGTTCTTGAGCTTATCTGTTTTTTTAAACGAAAAGATAGGTTTACGCTCATTCTCCATTTGAATTAATATGTTAGATCTATGTTTTGTCATGCTTGGTATCTATCAAAATCTTGTTCCTTCGCTTAACATCATTTTTCTATATTATTAAACCTAATAAAGGAAGAACAGTTTGCTGCTGCCCTGATGAATGTAGCACCATTGTTGAGATGTCGTGTGAGCTCTTTGGGATTGTTTTCTAGTCAATAGTTTTCTCTAGACTCTCTCATGGCCTCTGATAGCTTGTGTTATTCATCAAAATATTGGTTGATTTTTTATTTTATTTTTTCTTTCGATCTTTTGGTTGTTTCTGTGGCAGGTTGAGGATTTGAGTGCCAGGCAGGTATACGAGAAACTTCTCGAAGCCGCACAACCTTGACGTGGCAGCGACATGCACCGGAGTATTCCAAATTCCATAACTTTATATCAGGGCTTGTTAAAACGGACGTGGGATTCACCAATCTTATTTGGATCTAAGTATTCATTAATTTTGAATTCTAGCCACGTTACTTAGATTGGATTTTTGTATCTTCATTTGGTGGATGATCAAAGTTTGAACAATTGTATCTTATCCCACATTGTGTGCTCTCGCCAGCGGGAGTTTAATGGATACATGTTTGGTTGTGATTTAAGGAATATACTATTAATTTTATCTTACTTTTTTTTCTCCTCAATTTCATCCCAAATTTAAGTAAAAATGAATCATGACTACATATTTTTCGAAAAAAAAAAGCTTTCAATCTATGTTGACTATTAATAATTCAATTACTAATCACATTAATTTAAAATACATTTTTCAAGAAAGCTTATTAAAAATAGAAACAAACCAGTTTGAGAGAAATGATTCATGAGAATCTGCAGACATGATATAATTAAACAGACTCGATGCATAAGTAAAACTGGCCGACGAGACACGATCACAATTTAGAGACGATGCAATAACCAGAAAACTACATTGATCTCCCGCAAAAAGTTGGTAAAATTATTCTGTAAATCATTCAAACGAATGAAACAGCTAACACCGACTCAGCAAAACAAAGTCTTAGAGGTTATATAGCCTCTAGTGAGAATCCGAAGAAGTATTGGAAATACAATAACCAAAAGTCGGGATTGTAACGTTTATATTTGTGTCTTGTTGGGAAAAAAACTGGATCCTTCATATCAGGAAAGTACTTTCTTGACCTCTGATGTCACCTCTTGCGGAGGCTTTTCTGCAGGTAGGTTGGCGACAATGCCCTTCTTGCTGTAATAGCCGATTACCTGAACATTCATAAAACGAGAGACATCTAAGTAAAAATTTCAAACTGGTACTGGTCAATCAAATTTGGCCGCATATGATATCATCAGAGAAGTTCGATAAGACAGTGGTTAAGTAATAGCATTCATTGCTGTATGGTCAAATAAACAGAATGTTGTTTGACACATGCCAAAACCACAATGGTCCCACACTGACATACACACATAGTTCGATTACAAGATGAGACATTCGGTACAAAAATGCAGTTTTTAAAAATGGAGGACACGAGTGTATGGTGAAAAAAATCAACTTTACGAGTTATCGGTATCCAACCACGGTCTTAAATATGAACAGCTGGGTCTATACTCTATAGTGCTTATTTGTCGGTCCATTAGGTCCAATGGTATATATATTTAAACAGGTAATAGATTTTATGAACATATGGAAAAGCTTTACTCAGTTAAAGTGGATGATTCCTATAGCTCAGGGAAAATCATGTACCAGTGGGTAATTTCCGTTTCAGCTGAAGAAACTAATGGCCAATGGGCATCGAATTCCACGGGAACAACAAGAGAGAGGAAGAGAAAATAAAAAAAGAAAAATAAGGGGGAGAGAGGACTGTTGCTATGATTCGAAAAAATGAAGGCAAAACAGGTAAAATCAACAGCCTGCTGATAGTAATCCACATTCATTCATAATTTTCTATCTACATCAGAGTATGAAACGTAAAGCATAATCAGTCTTCACAAAATGTCTCATCCATCACTGGCATAAAATAAAAAGTCCAATTAAACGCGCACAAACTTCAGCAGTCAGATTTTCTTAAAAAACTCGTAGCCCTAGATTCGAGCTAAGGTGTGTTTGCAAGCATAAACTGAAGAGTAGTTGAGATCATTACACAACATGAAAATCAGAAAATACTGAGCGTAAGTTTATAGTTACTCCTGTTTATTAATTACCTTCCAAGAACTAAACTAACAGGGCCATAACAGCAGATGTAAAATAATATTGCAAGCAAGAATGTAATTCTACGTAAACCAGAATATCAACATCGAGAAAGAAGCATACTGGTTCAGTCTGCTTGTGGAAAGCTTCAAGCCTCGACTTCAGAACATCAGCCGTATCATCCTTACGTTGAATTAAAGGCTCCCCAGTTACCTTTAAATGGCAAAAATCAACTCCTCAAGGGTTCTCCAATTACATATAAAAAAAGAATATGAGATGGCAGAGCACATAACTACAGTTCTCCATTAAGTGAAAAGGGTCGAAATAGAACATTGCATCTATGGCAAGAAAGAGAGACAATATTAGTATTATCAAATGCAATAACAGAGAAAGATGAGTTTCTCATTACATCATCAGCACCGGGCACTTTTGGAGGCGCAAATTTTGTATGATATGTTCGACCACTAGATGGATGGATCCATCGGCCAGTAATTCTCTCCTCCAAAATAGCATCATCAATTGCAAAGTTAAGCACTTTGTCAACCTTGACCCCACGTTTTTCAAGCATCTCATCAAGCTGTAATACAACAAACGAATACATTCAGACAACAGCCATCGTAAACTAACCGGAAATATTGAGTGAAAAAACTGTTGACCTTTTCTGCTTGGACAACTGTCCTTGGAAATCCATCAAGAATAAAACCTTTCTGACAAGAGGGTTTTTTCAAGGCATCATCAATTATCCCAACAACCAAATCATCAGAAACAAGTTCTCCCTGAAAATAACAAAACCACTTTAGCTAAAGAAAATATGTCATTTCAAGATGTAATATACGAGATCATGGTATCTATCATTTCAGGATGTAGTATTGGGAAAGAATTCTACCTTTTCCATGGCCTCTTTGGCTTTGATACCAAGGGGAGTCTTTGCAGCAACAGAAGCTCTAAGCATATCACCAGTGGCTAAATGGCACAAACAATATTCATCCTTAATTATTGGTGACTGAGTTCCTTTACCTGATCCTGGTGGGCCTGAAAAACCAAATCAAGGACACAAAGCATCACAAAAACCGAACAATAGAAACTTTGTGAAGGATTAGACCGCTTGGAGAAAGATCACAAATAAGATGAACATAAGAAGTAGCATTAAGAAGGACCATTTTTATCTCCTATATCTTAGGATTGCAGATACACTAAAGTGCATGACAGATGAACATAATAGCACTTACAACCAAGGCAGAACTTAAACCACCTCATAATAACAAGAATGGCGATATCACTAAGAGATCTGAGCATACACCGTACATAATATTTATCAATATATTAGCTGCCATTCTTAAATGCTTAAACAACTCACAATAATCATAAACTAAAAAATAAGGTAATGATGCAATTATCCATTATTCTTTCATCTTTTTGACAAACAATCATATCTCTACATGCCCGCATTGCCCATCCTACATTTCGAAGCAATCTACAAACCATTTTAGGTAATTAACATTCGAACCAATACACATATCAACTGTATTATAGTGCTTCGACTTGAAAAGAATCCAATGAGCAATGGTAAAAAAAAAAAAAAGTTTCGAGAAAAGTAAGGTGTACATTTCACACAATAAACTAGCCATATACAGGATAAAACACAAGTTCATCAGTACCAATCCAATTAACATCACTTCAGACAAAATTAAACTTAAAAAAAAAAAAATCCACCAAAAAATAACATGAATTACAAGTGGAGCTACAATCTACAACTCTATTAACTGTAGTGGACAACAACTGCACACAAAGATGATCAAAACCCAAGAAGACCAACTCAATTTGGGAACTCAGCTACACCTGGTACTGGCATTTATCTAAAAGTTCAACCCACTTCCACCATACAAATTCAACAACTCTAAAACCCTAAACCCAGAACATGCAGACAAGAACAAAGAGACGGAGGCATAAAGGGCAGAGAGAGAGAGAGAGAGAGAGAGAGAGCAGCAGCAGCAGCATACCAACGAGGATGAGGCGCTTGTCGGGTTTGTTGGCGCATTTCATACGGCGAAGGAGCTCCGTCATGAGATCCACAGACTGCACATCCTCCAGATTCGGCGTAGCGGCCATTCTCAAGCAGCTTTCGTTGGTTTCGTGGTCTTTGTGGTGGGTAAGGAAATCTCAAGTCTGCGATGTAAATTCTTTGCTTATGTTTCGGGAGTAGGGAATTCGGACCTTCCAATGCTTCAAACTCAAGCAGGCGCAAGTTGAGTTTTTTTGTTTTAAATGACTGTTCTCTCTCTCTCTCTCTCTCTCTCTCTCTCTCTCTCTCTCTCTCTCTCTCTCTCTCTCTCTCTCTCTCTCTTTTTTGGTTTTGTTTTATTTACTATATTTGATTGTGAATTTTTTTTTTTTGCCAGAACGATAGAAATTCTATAAATAACGAAAGAGTTCAGGATACAAAACTACAAACACGAAAACATCAAACTGACTGATCCACTGCCTAGAACCTCAACAAAGAAAACCAAACTTAAAAAAAGAACACAATAAACATGCTTCTCTCCACTGCCTAAAGGCCTAGCTAGAAACAAGTTCACCAAGAAAGAAGAAAAAAGGAAAAAAAGAAAGCTAAACAGACTAAAACAAAACAGCCAACTAACTAAACCAATTCCACAACATTGGTTGCCTCCAACCAGTCCTTCTGAGCAGCAGAGATGACAATGTGCTCAGGCATGAGAGTTCTTTCAAAGACTCAAAGATTTCGGGACTTTCACAGCTACCATAGCAGGTAAGTGGATAACTGGATCCTGTCTTGAATCACATCACTCTGCGTAATTGAGCTGATCTACTGCCACCAGGCTTTAAAAGAGTTTGTACAATGTAGCAGTTCATCCCAATTGACAGATGCTTTTTCCCAGATCCTTTTGGCTCTTGCACAGGTGAAGAAAATATGTTCTGAAGTATCAGGATGATCACCACAAATAGAGCAGATGGCACAAATATCAATCCCTCTCCTCCTCAAGTTAGTTGCAGTTGGCAAAGTGTCTGTAATACATTTTCAGAGGAAATGTTTGAGTTTTCCTTGTAGCTTCATTTTCCAACATCTCTGAAACATTTGGTGAGGAGGAACCAAACTAGAGCTGGCTTCTGGTATATCAAGGAGAAGGATCTTCTGAGCTACCAAAAATTTATAAGTGCTGGAAACTGTGAAAATACCTTTGGGATCAGGCCCTTATAACAATCTATCAGGTCTTGCTGGATTTAGGGACTTGATCTTCAGAATTGCAGCACTATCTTCCTGGTCAAATACTTGCTGAATAAGCCAGCTGTTCCATTGAAGGCCATTAGTTTGCAGGAGGTCCTTAACCCATATTAAGTGCCCTTGAGCAATATCAATCAGAGTAGGAGAGGGCTTTTTCAAATTGGGAACCCAGTTCAGATCATCAATCTTTGTGTTTGAGCCATTCCTTATTTCAATCTTAACACACTTAGCAAAAGTTGGCAGCACTGAGAGCCAACTGTTCCAGAGCCATGATCATTTGCTTGTTTTTACAGCTTTAAACATGGGGCCATCAGGAAAACATCTATCCTTCAGAATTTTGCTAATCAATAGATCTGGATTTGAAATGACTCTCCACAACTGCTTGCATATTAAGGCTTCATTGAAGAGCCTTATGTCATGAAAACCTAGTCCTCCCTTTAGCTTAGGCAAAGTGATCTTTTCTCATTTTTTCCAGTGGATTCCAGATTCTGTTTCCCCTGATTTCCACCAAAATGTGGCACACAACTTGGAGATTTCCTTGCAAATAGATACTGGCAGTTTGAAACATGTCATTGAGAAGAGAGGAAGTGCTTGAAGCACTGATTTTATCAGCACCTCCTTTCCAGCTGTTGAGAGAAGCTTACTCTTCTATCCCTGCAGCTTGTTCCTAATTGAGGTCAGGATATAGTCAAAAACCTCTTTCTTTGATCTCCCTATTTTCAGTGGCAAACCAAGATATCTGGTTGATCTATGAGGGACAATGCCTTGAAGTACACCACAAATTCTATCCCTCAACTATTCAGGGGTATTTCTATTGAAAAAGATACCTGATTTCTGGAGGTTAACTCTCTGGCCTGTGAACTTCCTGTATTTTTCCAGAATAGAGAGGATTTGAGAGGCTTGATCAACTCCAGATTTACAGAATAAGAGAGAGTCATCTGCAAACAGCAGATGAGTGATGGCTGGCCCATTTTTAGAGAGTTTGATGCCCTGAATCCCTCCTTGAGTCTGAGCATTAGTGATGAGAGCTGAGAAGAGTTCTGCAGCAATGATGAACAAGTAGGGGGACAGAGGGTCCCCCTGTCTTATGCCCCTGCTTGGAGAGATGAAACCACTAACTTTGCCATTGATCTTGAAAGAAATAGTGGTAGTAGAGACACAAACCATTATCAGTTTAATGAACTTCTGATGGAAACCCATTTGTGTCATAATTCCTTCAATGTTGGGCCATTGCAATCTGTCAAAGGCTTTCATTAAGTCTAGCTTCAAAGACATAAAGAAGTTTTTCCCAGAAGAGTGCCTGTTTAGGAAGTGGAAAGCTTCTTGAGCTATGACTATGTTGTCCATTAACTGTCTGCCTTTGACAAATGCTGATTGGTGGGGGCTAATGCAGGCAGACAGGCAGAACATAAGCCTCTGAGCTAAGACTTTGGAGAGTATCTTGTAAATAACACAGCAGAGGCTAATTGGTCTAAAGTGAGCCAAAGATTCTGGGTGAACTATTTTTGGAACCAAAGATAAGATGGTGTGGTTCAAGTACTTCAGAATGGCCCCTGATTGGAAAAAGCTGAGAATAGCTGCAAATACATCATCTTTAACCAAAGTCCAGAAGTGCTGGTAGAAAATAGCATTCATGCCATCTTCACCTGGAGATTTGTCAGAGGGCAGAGAGAAAAGAGCATCCTTCACTTCATCTTCTGAGACTGGTTTCAGTAATGCCTGGTTCATGTCCTCAGAGATAGATCTAGGGATGAGATTGATGAAAGATTCTCCTTCACTACTTCCTTCAGCAGTAAAAAGATCCTTGTAGAATTCAGCAACATGAAGCTCAATATCTTCTTGAGTAGTAAGAGCAACTCCTTGAGGAGTAAGCAGTCTGGTAATTGCATTGAGTTTCCTTTTCTGGAGAGTGTAAGCATGAAAGAACTTGGTGTTGCCATCTCCCTCCTTGGAGCCATTTCAGTTTTGCTCTTTGTTGCCAGTGCAGCTCTTCCTGTTTATGTGCAGCATTCAAATCAGCTCTAGTCTGATTCCACTCTTCCCAGTGACCATCTGCTTTAGTTTCTCTCAGTATTTCTAATTCTTGGAAAGGACTTCAATTTTTTGCTGATTCTGAGATTTGAATTTTGAACTCCAGATGAGGAGGGCAATTCTGGTGTTTTTCACTTTCTCCTTGAGAATAAAGAATGGAGTGCCTGAAGTAGGTTGTTTCCATGCTGAAGTGACAATGTCTTGAATTCCATCTCTCCCAAGCCATCTCTTGTCAAAGTGGAATCTAGCTGGCATTTTAGACTGAGGATGACCTAAATGGAGGAGAATCATTGAGTGGTCAGAAGCACTCCTAACAATGTTGGAGACAGTGGCATTTGGATAACTCAGAATCCAGTCATTTGATGCAAAAGCTCTATCTAGCTTCTCTTCTACTAGCCCTTCTTCACTCCTCAGATTACACCAGGTGTATCTGTAGCCTAGAATAGGGAGTTCTGCCATCTCCATATCATCAATGAATGAGTTAAAGCCCAGAAGGCTTCTTGCACTTCTCAAGTTACCACCAGCTTTCTCTTCTATAGCACAGAGATCATTCCAGTCTCCCATGGCAAACCACACATTACCCCAGCTAGGTTTGTCTCTTAACAATTCATCCCATTGCAAAGTTACCCCAGCTAGGTTTGTCTCTTAACAATTCATCCCATTGCAAAGATCTGGTCTGTCTGCAGGTGCTCATATAGACAAAAATTCCCATTGAGGAGGGGCAGAGTCTATACTAAATTCAACAGCCATATAGAAAGATTTTTTGATAATATTAGAAATATTTACATTGGAATCCCAAAGGAGAAGTAAACCCCCACTAAGACCCAAAGGATCTACAAAAGAAAACCTATCAACAAAACCCAGTTTCCTGGCCACAGATTTAACAAAACCACTACATTTCTTAGTTTCAGAAAAAAAAGAGAAAAGAGGGGTGGTGAGACTTGATAATCTCTCTGATTTGGGAAATTGTAGAGGGCCCACCCAGCCCTCTACAATTCCACGCCACAGCTAACATTTAGGGTTGAAGTGCCATTTGAGGCTGGCATCCCCCACCTAATCTTGCTTACCCTTAGATTTCTTATTTGATGCTGAGACTGGAGAGACAGGATCCTGAGGTTGAGAGTCTTCTTCTCTGGCTCTCTTTGTGTTTGAACTGTCTTGGATCATCAGGTCTTGACTTACATTCCTTTCCAGCCTTCCTTCCCTACTCAAAGCTCTCTTCCAAGTCTTCAATTTAGTAGCTGGAGGGAGCATTGAAGAATGGGGAGAATTTGGTACCAGGTTGATAGGGGTAGGAGATACTTGAATAGCCAGTTCCAAATCCATGTCTTTGTTCTGGAGTGGTTCTTCTACTTCAGTGATACTTAATTCCACTTGCTTCTTAGTTGGGGTTGGAGTTAATACGACTTTAGTGATCGAAGAAGGGCCTCTAAGCACAACTTCCTCTTGAATGGAATTAGAGGCCTCTGTTTCTTGATGAGAATTGCTTGGAGGCTGTTCTTGGATTTGTATTATCTGCTTCCCCTTATCGATAAAGCTTGAGGAATTTCTGGGTGGAGAAGAAGAATCTGGCTGCCTGCTTGAAGATGGAGAGTGTCTAGAGCCAGATTGGCCAATATCAATCCAATTTTGTCCCTCCACAGCCTTAATCCAGTCTCCATATTGGCCCTCCCTAATTGAGCTGGATTTGATTGCTTCCAATCTTTTCTTACAATCTCTGTGAAGGTGCCCTATGAGTCCGCAATAATAACAAAGATTATGCAGCTTTTCGTACTTGAAACCAACACTGATGATTTCCTCCTCCAACTGTATATTGGTACACCTGGGGAGCGGTTCA